ACCAAGTCTGTTTGTATGTGCACCACCAAGTCTGTCTGTATGTGCACCACCAAGTCTGTCTGTATGTGCACCACCAAGTCTGTTTGTATGTGCACCACCAAGTCTGTCTATATGTGCACCACCAAGTCTGTTTGTATGTGCACCACCAAGTCTGTTTGTATGTGCACCACCAAGTCTGTCTGTATGTGCACCACCAAGTCTGTCTGTACAAGGTCAGGTATGTAGGTGTCACAGAAAGTGAATAGGTCCTATGGGAATTTCTCCCAGCAGAAAGAGTGGAAGACTTCCACGTCAGAAAAACAATGAAAGGAAAAGTGAAATGGAAGCAAAATACCGAAGGATAAGACTCCTGATCTAAATGTTCCTGAATCTCTGAGTATAAGATAGTAAGACATATTTCTAAGTCCCACTTTATCATGACACGTGTTAATTTATATGGGTACCCAAAAAGTTATGTGAATTGTTATGGAAAAGTCGCGGAGGACATGCCCGCGCCTATGAGAACTGATGTATATGAAGCGGAGAGACCGCATTTGTGAGAATTGATGAATATGAAGCAGAGGGACATGCCTGCACTATGAGAATTGATGTGTATAAAGCGGAGATATAAGCTGCCTATGGCCATAGAGCATTTTAGCGGAGAGAGACCGCACCAGTGAGACTTGATGAATTTGTAGCGGAGAGAGACCGCACCAGTGAGACTTGATGAATTTGTAGCGGAGAGAGACCGCCTTTATATGAAGCAGAGGGACTGCATTAGTGAACGGAAAAGCTCAAAAGAGTCTAGAGATGACTGACACTCTCTAGTGTGGGGTAGATAGGCATCTACCTCAGGTTGCTGAAATATGAGGACAGTCGAAAGACTAACGATGAATTCATTCGGGACGAAGGACGGAGTGTCGATCTGTCTCGTAGCCTGGGTGAAGACCTATAAATCGGTCGTGGAGTGTAAGCGGAGGCCAATTACATCAATGGGAGACAAATTTTTTTTCCTGGTGAGAGGCGTTTTATGAGTACAAGACGTACAATCTATTTGGATAGACCAAAGTAAGAGATTAACATAGGAATGACTACCTATGACTGGGACTGAACAGAGTAAGTGATTGAAATAGTTTAACAAGGCCTTTAATATGAAATATTTGACTAACCCACGAGTACTGCATGTTATTTTCTCATGAACAGAGACTGTATGAGCAATGCGCAGTGTTCTTCAGTCTATTTGATGTGGTAAACATCCCTTGTGGGAGAGTGATATGTTGTATGGTACATTGGTGACGACCAATTGGGATTGTTGGATATTCCTTCTCTAGGAAGAGATATTGACTCCTTATGATAAGGAGCAGGAACAGAGTATTTGAATTACTCGATTGTTGACATTCTACAGGACCTTTCAGCTCACACTTCAGGTGATGATGACACTACTGACGAGGTGGAACTCAATACCACTGACGACATGCGTTTTAGATATCTATGAGTTTCTTTGGGGTACTACCTTTAGTCATCATAAGGGAGAGATCTTGACGTATGAACAGACACAGTATCATACAGTGGTAATAAAATAGACTTCCAAAGGATAGAAATACTCAAATACTACACAGCTTCTAAGGTACAGACATTACACTACTACTATGTCTCTACGATGTTACCAGTAACGTCCAATGACAGAAACACTCAACTTTGTCATGTAAAGTCATTTGAAAGAGTGTCTTTAAGAGCCATAAAGTTAGTAAAAGAGAATAAGATAATTTACATATACCCAACTGACTCTATCTTAATGAATAGCTGGACTCTGATTGGGGACATGCAATGGATATCAAGAACTTCATATCTCATATATGGGTGCTTATTTGTACTCATAATTTTATTCATTTCTGTTTCCACTGATACATGGAAGTGAACAATATCCAATACTTATTCACGAGTTAGGTAGTCTTTCTGCTCCACCACCTTGCTAAACAGTAACACAAACAAGATATAAAGTTAAATTCACCTTCAGTTCTTTCAAGACAGGAGAACTTTGTGATGACTTTCAAGTTTCATTTTAAAAGCTGATGTGACTTTGAATAATCTAATTCATTTTACAAACTTATGTGAACTCAGACGTACTAGTGTCCTCATGTATAAATGATTCCATATTGTATTCTGATGTTGCATGCTTTGTACACTTATAATCTGGATGTATGGTGTTGTAAAACTATCATGATTTGTAAAGAAAAAAACAGAAGAAAATGTTCAAGAATCCAAACCTTCGATATTTGATTTGATTTGTAACACCTATACTGTTTGCATCTATTATATTCAATCAGCAATTGTTAAAAATGTTATTCGATATAACATGACTGTTACACTTCTCAGATAGGTACAACCTAAGACAGATGCTATCTGAGACATTCACCTGTATTTCAATTTTGTGTTCTCTGGTCCTCAGATACATAGTTATTCAATTATCTCTTTGATATTGTAATTTTTTTGGTATGATTGATGTATAATTGTTATGGATAACTTATTTGTGTGTAGGTCTGAGCTTAAGTCATTCACCAGTCGCATGGGACATGCTCTACAACAGGAGGGGCATGTATAACCAGGATATTTAGGATTGAAAACTTTGGTAAATATTTAAGGAAAATTTGAAGTTCAGTTAAGAAGTGTCATTGTGCTTGGAAAGTGCATTGACCAGAGTAACCAGATTCATATCGATTCATTTCCCTTGCATACAACAAATCTAATAAGGGAGATGAGTGGAACAGTGGATCGGGTGACTCATATACCATTTAGGTAGTTACTAGTAATTAAGATACTAAGAATCAGAAAAGGGACACACGTAATGATTCATTAACCATCCTCTGGCGCCTGACAGTCGGAAGTTTTATTCGGTTGAATGCTTCACGAATGATTTAAGCTCACTAATAAGGTACATTTATGATGGAAGAAATTGATGGTACCGATTAAGTCTTGGAGGAGAGAAAATGATTATAGTTAGTGGTGCAGCTGGAATATGAGTCAGTTGAAAAGGGACTAATGAAAGTAACTTATTAGTCAGATGGGTTATGAGTCATTTTTATATGGGGTAGGACTGATTTACAGGGGGAGGAGCCAGAAAATTGTGAAGAGAATCAAAACTGAGCTGACTGGGAGAGAGCAGGAGAGCTTGGCCCCACCGTTGACTTGAGAGGTTTTCTCTGTATATTGAGAGAATGGCTGAGATGTAATTGTAATTTTAGGAGTTGGGCAAGAAACCAACAAGTTCTTCCATGAAGTTGTGAATCTGTGTTGCATGTAAACTAAGAAAGCTAGGAAGTATCTGAGGACCTTTGTGAAAGAATTCATTCCAAAATAAATGGACTTGAACAACATACCGGACTTATCCTTGACTATCCATCTTAGCTACATCATCCCCAGAACCAGAGTGGTAAGACGGATTGCCTAGGGTGGAAGGGTAAAACACCCCGAAACCCCAGGTAACACAACCACCAAGTCTGTTTATATGTGCACCACCAAGTCTGTTTGTATGTGCACCACCAAGTCTGTTTGTATGTGCACCACCAAGTCTGTCTGTATGTGCACCACCAAGTCTATCTGTATGTGCACCACCAAGTCTGTCTGTATGTGCACCACCAAGTCTGTTTGTATGTGCACCACCAAGTCTGTCTGTATGTGCACCACCAAGTCTGTTTGTATGTGCACCACCAAGTCTGTCTGTATGTGCACCACCAAGTCTGTTTGTATGTGCACCACCAAGTCTGTCTGTATGTGCACCACCAAGTCTGTCTGTACGTCCACCACCAAATACGAACATAAGATAATATCTTCTTCTACATTATATAGAAACAATTAAACATTATAAATAGCGACAACTGACTGTTCTACGAGGCTGTGCATGTTTCCTGCTCTCGGTGTATGTAGAACTAGATTCACTCTCGCTAGGAAACTGGTGACTTCAGGAAGTGGGATAGTCGCTGCAGTGCTTGTTCTAGCTTACGTGGCCATATTAACTGACCGTCCCCGGTGAGACCCCAGGGGCGGATACAAACTTTGGAGAAAGAGGAGGTGGTGTGTGTGTGTGGATGGGTGTGTGTGCGTGCGTGCGTGCGTGCGTGTGTGAAAGAGGTTTGGAGGGTGTGTGTGCATGGTCCATTTTCACCCGTTTTTACGAGAGTTTCCACCATTATTTGATAACCGCTGCATCCCCCTCTCAATCGGGGATTGTCTGTTACGCAAATAGTAAATCTAGTTTAGAAGTGACTAGGTGAGGTGGAGTCATGGCGGCCGAGACATGTTGGTTGCTGCTAAAAGATAATAGTTGCAGATCCATTACAAAGTTACCTTTACGAGTTCAATATAAATTTTCGAAAATTTTGTTTTGTCGCATTTAGAAGCATAACGTTACATACCATGTATAAACTTATGTAAATATGTATACATCAATAGATACATGAGGCTGTACTAATGTAAATATGTATACATCAATAGATACATGGCTGTACTAATGTAAATACACGAGGCTATGGTTTTAATGGTGAATACATTAGTGTTTACAACATGCATGCTAAATATTATAAGTTTTATAATATAAACAAGCCACTGAATTTAGGCTTAAAGTCGCCACCTGCAGATAATGGAACCTAGGTCTCAGAAGAAACAGTCCAACCACTAAGGAGAGAGAGAGAGAGAGAGAGAGAGAGAGAGAGAGAGAGAGAGAGAGAGAGAGAGAGAGAGAGAGAGAGAGAGAGAGAGAGAGAGAGAGAGAGAGAGAGAGAGAGAGAGAGAGAGAGAGAGAGAGAGAGAGAGAGGAAAAAATCATACATACAGACGGAGAGACACACACGCGGGCACACATCTCTGGATGTGTCAGCCGGACATACTTGGTATCTGACAAGTCATGCAGTATCAGCTCAACAGTCACTGTTACACCGATCACATCACACAACGCCATCAGACCCCAGCGCTAGGTGGAGAGAAATCAATCCTAGTTAGGATGTGAATGGCAGCACGACACTTACCTATGTCAGCGTGAACTATCAGCTCCGTTTTGAATTTCGGCCACCATCTTGCTTCACACCGACTGTTTAATCCCGCCCTGCCTCCCCCTGCCTGAATCCTTCCGTTCCTGTGTGCATGCTTCGAGTTCAGGCTAAATACGCTAATCTGCAGTGGACATTCAGGCAAACTAAAGCTTCAACTAGCACAATACTTACAGTACGATGTGACCAGATTGTTCAACGCCTGTCTACATCATTATAAATACTGCCACCAGTTGGAATGGCCGCAATTGCGTCGCCGTTTAACCCTGATACTATAAATAGACTGTACGATGCGTTGGTGCTATTTGTAATCTGACAATGACAACATGTGTTGTTTTAGTGTGTAACTCCATGTAATAATTTCACAAAACCAGTAGCATACCTGCCATTAGGCACTTTAGGCACGTGCCTACACTTAATATTTTCGACAATTCACCACATCAGCATCAAGCGAAAGATCCTTCAGTGCAATGAGGAGGACCATGACGAACCTCGGTACAGCATGGGTGATGTCCGTATGTCATCACATTGACACATGTCCACAGAGACATGCCAGTAAACTCACACCAGGTCTTTGAGCAATTTGCTGCTGGGAAGCCGTGGCCCATGGATTTCCTTTAAGACTGTACATAACGCGCTGACAGCAGTAAAGTTTACTCCCCAGAATACAGACTTTCTTTTGTTATTGATTCACATAATTGTCTTTGTTCAAATTATGTTTATGTATAAAGTAATCAGAAGCCAGCACTTAATATGTTCACAACACTGGTACATAACATTTTACGGCCAAATAGAATAATGACTTTTGCTGAAAGGGCTATTTTGTCATTGCTTAAATATGTCATAAAATATTTGTTAGAATACTAAATTGTCAAATTTCGGTTCAATTTCGTTAACTTCCCTATGAAAATATATTTTTATGAAAAGTTTGAAATACACATTTTTAGGAAAATATGTCAGGAAATGCTATCTAGATCAACCATTTTACCAACCAAACACCCAGTAGAATGGGTGTTATCTTTCAGTACTGCAGGTGTTATCTTTTAGTACATGTGCTGTTATCTTTCAGTACATGTGCTGTTATCTTTCAGTACAGGTGCTGATATCTTTCAGTACAGGTGCTGATATCTTTCAGTACAGGCGCTGTTATCTTTTAGTACATGTGCTGTTATCTTTCAGTACGGGTGCTGTTATCTTTCAGTACGGGTGCTGTTATCTTTCAGTACAGGTGCTGTTATCTATTAGTACATGTGCTGTTATCTTTCAGTACAGGTGCTGATATCTTTCAGTACAGGTGCTGTTATCTTTCAGTACAGGTGCTGTTATCTTTCAGTACGGGTGCTGTTATCTTTCAGTACATGTGCTGTTATCTTTCAGTACAGGTGCTGATATCTTTCAGTACAGGTGCTGATATCTTTCAGTACATGTGCTGTTATCTTTCAGTACAGTGGGTGTTATCTTCCAGCAGAGTGGGTGTTATCTTCCAGTACAGGTGGTGTTATCTTCCAGTACAGTGGGTGTTAGTTTTCAGTAGAGGGGATGTTTTCTTCCAGTAGAGTGGGTGTTATCTTCCAGAACAGTGGGTGTTATCTTCCAGTAGAGTGGGTGTTATCTTCCAGTAGAGTGGGTGTTATCTTCCAGTAGAGTGGGTGTTTTCTTCCAGAACAGTGGGTGTTATCTTACAGTAGAGTGGGTGTTATCTTCCAGTAGAGTGGGTGTTTTCTTCCAGAACAGTGGGTGTTATCTTACAGTAGAGTAAGTGTTATCTTCCAGTACAGTGGGTGTTATCTTCCAGTAGAGTGGGTGTTATCTTCAGTACAGGTGCTGTTATCTTCCAGTACAGTGGGTGTTATCTTCCAGTAGAGTGGGTGTTATCTTCAGTACATGTGCTGTTATCTTTCAGTACAGTGGGTGTTATCTTCCAGAACAGTGGGTGTTATCTTACAGTAGAGTGGGTGTTATCTTCCAGTAGAGTGGGTGTTTTCTTCCAGAACAGTGGGTGTTATCTTACAGTAGAGTAAGTGTTATCTTCCAGTACAGTGGGTGTTATCTTCCAGTAGAGTGGGTGTTTTCTACCAGTAGAGTGGGTGTTATCTTCCAGTAGAGTGGGTGTTATCTTCCAGTACAGTGGGTGTTATCTTCCACTACAGTGGGTGTTTTCTTCCAGTAGAGTGGGTGTTATCTTCCAGTAGAGTGGGTGTTATCTTCCTGTAGAGTGGGTGTTATCTTCCAGAACAGTGGGTGTTATCTTACAGTAGAGTGGGTGTTATCTTCCAGTAGAGTGGGTGTTATCTTCCAGAACAGTGGGTGTTATCTTCCAGTAGAGTGGGTGTTAGTTTTCTTCCAGAACAGTGGGTTTTATCTTACAGTAGAGTAAGTGTTATCTTCCAGTACAGTAGGTGTTATCTTCAGTACAGGTGCTGTTATCTTCCAGTAGAGTGGGTGTTATCTTCCAGTACAGTGGGTGTTATCTTCCAGAACAGTGGGTGTTATCTTCCAGTAGAGTGAGTGTTATCTTCCAGTAGAGTGGGTGTTATCTTCCAGTAGAGTGGGTGTTATCTTCCAGAACAGTGGGTGTTATCTTACAGTAGAGTGGGTGTTATCTTCCAGTAGAGTGGGTGTTATCTTCCAGAACAGTGGGTGTTATCTTACAGTAGAGTGGGTGTTATCTTCCAGAACAGTGGGTGTTATCTTACAGTAGAGTGGGTGTTATCTTCCAGAACAGTGGGTGTTATCTTCAGTACAGGTGCTGTTATCTTCCAGTACAGTGGGTGTTATCTTCCAGTAGAGTGGGTGTTAGCTTCAGTACATGTGCTGTTATCTTTCAGTACAGTGGGAGTTATCTTCCAGAACAGTGGGTGTTATCTTACAGTAGAGTGGGTGTTATCTTCCAGTAGAGTGGGTGTTTTCTTCCAGAACAGTGGGTGTTATCTTACAGTAGAGTAAGTGTTATCTTCCAGTACAGTGGGCGTTATCTTCCAGTAGAGTGGGTGTTATCTTCAGTACAGGTGCTGTTATCTTCCAGTAGAGTGGGTGTTATCTTCCAGTACAGTGGGTGTTATCTTCCAGTACAGTGGGTGTTATCTTCCAGTAGAGTGGGTGTTATCTCCAGTACAGGTGCTGTTATCTTCCAGTACAGTGGGTGTTATCTTCCAGTACAGTGGGTGTTATCTTCCAGTAGAGTGGGTGTTATCTTCCAGTACAGGTGGTGCTATCTTCCAGTACAGGTGGTGTTATCTTCCAGTACAGTGGGTGTTAGTTTTCAGTAGAGTGGGTGTTTTCTTCCAGTAGAGTGGGTGTTATCTTCCAGAACAGTGCGTGTTATCTTACAGTAGAGTGGGTGTTATCTTCCAGTACAGTGGGTGTTTTCTTCCAGTAGAGTCGGTGTTTTCTTCCAGTAGAGTAGGTGTTATCTTCCTGTACAGTGAGTGTTATCTTCCAGTAGAGTGAGTGTTATTTTTCAGTACGGGGGCGTGTTGTCTTCCAGTACAGTGGGTGTTATCTTCCAGTACAGTGGGTGTTATCTTCCTGTACAGTGAGTGTTATCTTCCAGTAGAGTGAGTGTTATTTTTCAGTACGGGGCCGTGTTGTCTTCCAGTACAGTGAGTGTTATCTTCCAGTACAGTGGGTGTTATCTTCCAGTACAGTGGGTGTTATCTTACAGTAGAGTAGGTGTTATCTTCCAGTACTGGGGCGTGTTGTCTTCCAGTAGAGTGGGTGTTGTCTTCCAGTAGAGTGGGTGTTATCTTCCAGAACAGTTGGTGTTATCTTACAGTAGAGTGGGTGTTATCTTCCAGTGGAGTGGGTGTTATCTTCCAGTAGAGTGGGTGTTATTTTTCAGTACAGTGTGTGTTGTTTTTCAGTAGAGGGGATGTTTTCTTCCAGTACAGTGGGTGTTATTTTTCAGTACGGGGGCGTAGTGCGTCTTAGTGCAGATATGTAACCAGGGGACGTATTTATTCACACGACTGCACTAGATACTTTGAAGCTGACAATTAGGTGTGTGGACAGTTTAGCCCGCAGTGTTGATTTTGCCGATAATCAAATATAGTAAAACTAAGACCACGAGGAAAGTGAAACTAGGACCACGAGGAAAGTGAAACTAGGACGACAAGGAAAGCAAAACTCGGACGAGTAATGTGCTTATTATAGACTCGTTTGAGGAACATATTTTACTTCAGTTTTCACATCGTCAACGCCAGGTAACAGGGTGTTGTTTATAGGTCCATCTATCTACTCAGTCCTCAGTCCCCTGTCGGTGGAGCATAGTTCACTTCATTTTTCACATCGTCAACGCGAGGTAACAGCGTGTTGTTTATAGGTACATCTATCTACTCAGTCCTCAGTCCCCTGTCGGTGGAGCATAGTTCACTTCAGTTTTCACATCGTCAACGCGAGGTAACAGCGTGTTGTTTATAGGTACATCTATCTACTCAGTCCTCAGTCCCCTGTCGGTGGAGCATAGTTCACTTCAGTTTTCACATCGTCAACGCCAGGTAACAGCGTGTTGTTTATAGGTACATCTATCTACTCACTCCTCAGTCCCCTGTCGGTGGAGCATAGTTCACTTCTTTTTTCACATCGTCAACGCGAGGTAACAGCGTGTTGTTTATAGGTACATCTATCTACTCAGTCCTCAGTCCCCTGTCGGTGGAGCATAGTTCACTTCAATTTTCACATCGTCAACGCCAGAAAACAACGGGTTGTTTATAGATACATCTATCCACAGGGGTTCGAATCACTGTTTGAACAATTAGAAGATAAACATACTGTGTTGGAAAATCAGAGGTATATAATTGCTCTAAATTTGATTTAATACCAAACGCGTAGCGTGAGGTTTTGAATAAATTTTTTTAGAGCTATTATAATTTCGTTATATACATCTGATTTTCCAACACAGTACGTTTATCTCCATTCTACCATAACCGCGTTATTAAGATTTTGCAAAAATACATACTGTGTTAGAAAATCAGAGGTATATAACGTGATTGTATACCTCTGAATGACTTTGATTAACCAATCACAATCCAGCATTTACTGAAGTCATGGTAGAATAATTTTTAAAAATATGAAATCTATACTATTGCAATTGTATGTTTTTTATATGTTATGATTAACATATATTTCAAATTTGAACGAGATCGGTGAAGAAATAATTTTTTAAGAAAATTCTACCGGTACATTTACATAAAATACACAAGGGGTGACACTCGCAATCCTACAGAACTGATCGAAACCGGACAGCCAGA